AATCGTGGACTTGATGAAAGTCTCGGTATTACAATAAAAAAACCGTTTGTTTTGTTGTCTTTGTTGAAGTAAAATGTTCTTTTTGTACTTCCCAAAATCTATCTTATTTCTATCTTTTCATTAATTTACTTTGTTTTTAGAACCGCTTGCCAGCTGCTCGGAGGCCATGACTTTCATATCAAATACTCCAAATGGTTTGCTGAGCAGGTGTCTGTTTTCCTAAAAAAGAATGGAATCTTGAAAATACCAAATTTCCGTTCAGAAGCTTAATTGCTCAGAAGACCCTGCTTGGCATCAACCACCGTCAAGAACGACAGTTTTTGCTCGTTAAACATTATTCGTTTCTTACCTTTAGTTTTCTTCAATGTTATTTTCTTTGAAAAAATGCCCCGGCATTTCTTGTAAGTATCTCCGATATTCTCGCCAAAAAAAGGTATGAAAGCAAGAGGGGGCATAGCACAAAAACTTAATAAGTCTCGATCTGTTATAGTGTTGACAGTAAATTTACTGTCCGAAGAAGAAAGAAGTCGGATATATGTGTCTTGTTTATAATTTGATTTTCATATCATTCCTTTCCTTTTTCTTTTTTGGTTACAGTTTTACATTGTGATGGCATAGTCTGCCTCCTGTTGACACCATTAAATAAGTGAGTATAGCACAAGACAGATGTAGTTAAAATCTAAAAATAAAAAATTGTTTTCTTAATTTCTTTGTTTATTTTACATTTTCCCGAAAAATTTGTTGTAAAAAAAAAAGAAAACTACTTGTATATTATTTTACCCTGTTTCAATTATTTTTTCTACTTATTATTCTTTCTTTGCTGTACTGATAAATGTTATTTAGTTTGATAGTTCAAGCAAGCAAACAACTTTTTCCATACGATTCTAAACCTTATAATAAGAAATTTTCTGCTCTTCATTTCTGCGCAATGACAAAATTTGTATGTTGTAAATAGCAATTTTCAAAGAGTTTACGGATACAAAACACTTAAACATTAAGTCGGCTACTAGGCAAAAACTGATTTTTCTTTTAATTTCAACATGTCGCTTGTCATTGAATTTCCTTTCCACAGTTTGGGATGTTACTAATCTCTGAAAGTTTCTTCGTCTAACAAAATTTA